GATGCTGGAGTGGGGAGAGAAGAGAGCAGGGCTTTCGTCTGTTCCTAATGTTTTTGCTTCTAAAGGTAATTACCTGAAGCAAATATGGAAAAATGCTAATCTGTGTTAAATCTGGGATAAAATCACACGCTGTCCTGTAGAACATGCTCTGCGTGTTTGGATTACCCCGTAATAAAACCTGGGGACAAAGAACGCAGATCCTGGGGGGGAGGGGCCTAGGAGAAAACAAAAGATGCTAAGATAGCAGAGAAAGATGAAAAACGAGCCCACAGTCTGGGATAGAAATCAAAGAGGAAAAGAAACCATTTCAGAAATGCGGGTGGAGGAGACTGCTGAGCACAACCTCAAGGACGTTTATTCATTCAACAAATAATTGAACACCTGCTGAGGGTCAGGCCTTGGGGACTGAAGTCCTTCCCCTCCCAGAGCTGAATCCCCTAGAGAGAGGCAGAGTCAGGCTCAACTGGCAGGCACAGGAACGGAGCTCAGGAGAGTCTGAGCTGTCAGCTCGGGAGGGGAGGGGAAGCGCTGGCTGTGGCCAGGGTTGGGGAGCTCGGTGCTGGAGGGGGGAACACGGGCCCCTGCAGGGCTTGGGGTGGGGACCCCATCAGAAGAGCAAGGAGGGCAGAGGCCCTCCAGAGTGAGGCCCGCTGGAGTCAGAGCAGACACGATCACTGGCGCTGGCTGGAGGGGCCACCTGGACTTGGGACAGAGGCCTAGAGTCCTTGCCCCAAAGGGCCTCAGGGCACCCAGAGTGTCCTAGTGGCACCGTGTGGCTATGTGGACCGACATGTGGGAACCGTGGGAAGAGACAGAAGAGACTGAGAGATATACTTAGAGAACATGGTGCTCTCTGCTTCCTCCTCCCAGAAAACAAACAGCCAGAGAGGAAAAGGAAAGAGGGACCAGAAGTGGACTCAGCGTGTGGGAGCCCAGCTGCCCCCGAAGTCCTGGAGTAGAGGGACCAGGTCCCAGGCTGGGCCTAAAGCAGACTGCCATGCGTGGGCGGGTAGCTGGTCAGTCCCTCTGCACGGGGCCCTGCAGCTCAGCCCAGCTCCCCTCTGCGGAGACAAGAACCTGGGTGTGGGAGCAGCCAGGTGCAGGTGCCCTGACAGTAGCAGGGCCCACCTGTGCCCAGCCCATGGGCATCCAGGTATGGGCTACTCTGGACAGGGACAGGCCGAGGAGTGGGCACCTGAGCCTGACACAGAGTGGGCTCCTGGTGGGCAAGGGGAGAGTCATCCTGCTCACTGTCAGCTGTGGAAGGCTGGTGACATGCTGCGCTCCTGGCCATGTTTACTTCGTGCATAAGGACACCGGTGGGCAGCAGGGCCAACGTGGGGTTCAGCACTGGGGGCCTAGGACAGAGCCCTGCTCCTCACCACTGTCCCAGCTCGGCCATGGAGGGTCCTGCTTACTGCACAAAGCGCGCTGGTGATGCTGACCACAGAGTCTGAGGGGTAGTGCCTATGTGTGACCTCAGGGGCAGGCGCTGCCAGAGATACCCTGGGGGTATCGGGCTTGCTAAGGAGGCCACAGGCTGGGCTTTCCACACAAACGGTTCCTACCAGCAGTGCTGATGGGGCTCTGGGGCGATGGTGGAGCGGGTCCTCAGGTGGAGCTCCGTGGGCCCTGCGACCCTCCTGCCCCTGCCCCTGGGTTTGGGCAGCTCCTTGGTCCCAGCCCACCTCTCCCCTGCCCGCAGGGTGTTTGGTCTGTCATTGGATTCAGCTTTAAACCACTCCCAGCTCAATTCGACTCAGTTCCCTCCCAGGCCACTCTCAGCTCAGACCACATGCAGGGTGTGGTCCTGGGCTGGGGTCGGGACTCCTGCCAGGCCCCACGCAGGCCATGGGCCTCTGCAGGTGGCCTGGTCTGGACTTCCCGAACTTCACCTCACGCACTCCTCTAGCCAAAGCCTGGCCACAGGGATCGGCCACGGTGTAAGCACTGCCTCCACCTGTCCAGTGATGTGCAGACCTGGCCCGCACGTGGAGAACAGCAGAGGAGGGGGACGCGAAACTCGGGCAGAGCTCTGCAGTGTTCCCTCGCTGGTGTGCTGGGGACGGCTAGTGACAGCAGGTCCCGGGAGGCAGCATCCCCTGTGGGTCTCATTGATTCCACACCTGTCTGCAAAACCACCCCACAGGGGCATCCCAGACTCCGGGGCAGGGGCGGGGTGCTTGGGAGATTTGAGGGCACAAATCGAACTCATCCTTATTTATGAACCGACATGGGGCAGCTTATTACTCTGATCACTCACTAATCATCCCCATAAATGCAGGGAGCGACAAAATCCCACAGAATCAATAACGTGGTAAGTTCTGTGTCTAAATCACAGCACCTAGTGCTCTTGAGTAAACCTTTCGGTAATTTACAAAGGCTGTTGAATTTTATAGTAAGTGTTTTTCAAACCAAGCTGGATTCTAAACAATAATGACTTTTTAATGTGGCTCTGTGATTACATTGTCATCGTGAAATACGGGGGTCTCTGACTGCATCTGAAATGAGCCTGGTGTGAATTACTCCCCGGCATGGACCAGCTCGGCCCAGGTAAAGCAATCTTCATAAATCACCCTCCAATCCGGGTGGCCTGGCAGGCGAGGCCTGATGCCAATGTTTGCAACTCAGATTTCCACGGACAATTTGTAAACAAGCTCTTCCATTTGTTCCGGAGCAGCGGCCACAGCCAGGCAGCTTGCAGTGGCCCTGCCCCGTGCTCATAGCCTCGACCTTGGCTGGAGTAAGGCCAGTGGCTGCTGCCCCGAGGCTGTTCATGCAGAAACAAATGAAAGGTCTGTAGCCCTGAGCGAGGCCAGGGGTGGCCCTTGGGGCTGGTGGCCACTGTCTCATTGGGTTTCTGTCTAGATGTCCCCGTGAAGCTCCACGCGGCGAGGATGGGTTTCTGGGAAGGTGGCACTCCAAACTGACTTGCTGCTGCGAGCCGAGTCTGCAGGAGGAAGCAGCCAGCAGGGGCCACAGCCCGGAGGGGCTGTCTCTCTCCGGCTCCTCTTCACCCCTGAGCCCTGCCCTCAGCAGCTCCCAGCCCTGCGCCATGAGGCTGCCCTGTCTCATCCCTTAAGCCGTGCATGTTGGGTATTCTGTTCCCTTCATCAAAAAGGGACAAAGTATGCAGTGCCGTGATGGCCCTGGGCCTCAACCTCTGGCACATGTGTCCTTTCCTAGTGGTCACCTTGGCCACCCTGTGCCCTACTGTGGGTGCCTGATTGCCTGCTCCTGAGCTGCTGCGTGGGCCCTGGTGGACCACACCTTGGGTCTCCACTGAGCAGGGCACGGGAAAAGAGGGCTCTGCCGGAGCAGGGTTCCCTCAGCCACCTGGAGGCTGTGGGTGGTGTGGAGCCAGAGGGACTTGGGCTGCCTCGTGGGGTTGCACTCAGCTGTGGGTTCCTGTGTACCCCAAGCTTCTAGGCTGAGCCTGTGAGGAGTCAGAAGACCCTGCCCTATGGGGGCCGCCAGGACAGATACACTTTTCCCTGTCTTTCTGGGAAGCGAGCTCCTTGGCTGGAGGCTCTAGGCTCCCAGGGTCTCAGGATGGCTTCTCGGGACTCAGGGGTGTCTGCTTCCCAGAGTGAACCAGCTGGGGGGCCTGTGTCTTGTTTCCAGAGGGGTCAGAGGCAAGGAACACCCTATGGGCTCTGGGCCTGGGGCTTGGGGGCAGAGCTCCATGAAAACCTGATGCTGAACCCCATGGTCAGCCCAGAGTACAGATGAGACCAGGCAGAGGCTGTGGAGCAGGGCCCTTGATGTCTCAGGGCTGCTACAGGGGCAGGGAGGGGTTGATTTCATTTCCTGGTGGCTTAGGATGGGTTTGGATTTAGCCTCAGTGCTCCCCCACTTATCCAGCAACCCTGGGAGCCCTCCACGCCAAGCCTGGATCGTTGAGATGGCCTATGGGCCACCCTCGGCCTTCAGGGTCCACCTAGAGATGAGACATGGGGCCCAGAGCATGGGGCCCAGCTAAGGGTGAGGTGACATCCCTACGTCTGTGCCTGGTGCTGCCCAAATTGCAGGCAGGAGGGGGACAGGGAGGCAGGCAGGGTCCGGGGCAGGCCTGGGGGCAGTGCTTGTGAGGCCTGAGCTCACGAGTGGGCCCCTAGCAGGTGCCACCTCCTCTCCTCCGAGCCCTGCCTTAGAGTCACATCTGTGTCTCTAGATAGGGAAACTGAGGCCTGCATGGAGGGCATCTGCCCAGCTCGGAGCACATGGAGGTGAGCATGGGCCCAGACACCATGCCCTCTGTCCCATCTTGGAGCACGAGCAGCCCAGGTCCCCTCCTGGCCCTGAGCCATTCGTACGCTGGGGCCCACGCTGGCCGCACGCTCGGGGAATCGCTGGAGTTAATGGCTCACAGACGGTTAGACCCGGTGAAGGGTTGCCGTTACGCTCCTTCCTGGTATTTAACAAACTCATTTGTTTTTAGTTTTCCGGAGGGAGAGGGCCTGTGAAGGGGCAGCGAGCCTCTGTCTGACCCCTCCTTGAGAAGGAAAAAGGGAGAAGCCAGAGCCAAACCGGCTGCAGCAAGACAGCAGCGAGACGCAGTTTAATCTCTGTGATGCAGGACAGCAATGCCTGGGGCTCCCCCAGGAGAATCAATCCAGCCACTTTAAGGGGGAATGGAGCCCGAGTCTTTCATGTCAAAAATTAACATACGAACTTCAAATTCATGCACCGATTCAAAATCTGATTTAACAAACTGCTCTTATTAAAGTCAATTGGCGAGCATTCCATTAGAAAAACAAATGAAATCTTCCCGTCTATGAGATAAATAATTTTCTCCCCACACCTAAGCGGGAGGCATTAACTTAACGGGTAATGATCTAAATTATGTATTAAACTCAATTACTTTTTATGACCACTTTCCAATTAGGGTGTGCTGATTGACTGTCGGCCGGGAGACTCCTCCTGGGCCCTACCTGGTCCCTGGGCCTGGCGCTGGCCCTGTAGCCCGTTGGCCCCAGCTTAATTGACTGTATCCACAGGGCTGCAGGCGAGGCTGTGAGCACGAATGAGCTGGTGCCAGCTGAGTTTCCCTCCACCGAGCTGCTCCGGGAAACACCTTGGATGTGAAAATCTGGCCTGTGTCCGAGCTCAGAGCCCCAGTCCTGCTGGGTCCGGGAGTGACCTGCCACAGGCGAGGCAGCGGGGCTGCAGCCACAGTGTCTCCGTCCTCTGAGCCGCTGTCTCCTCCTGCCAGGAGCCGGTGACTTCCCAGCCCAGCTGAGGCTCCCGACTCGGGGGGCCACGTCCCCAGCCACGCTTCTCGCAGTCTTCCTTACCCAGCGTTTCACTTCCTGTGACTCTGGTTACTTGAGGTCAGCCTCTCTCTGACAATACCAGGTGGAAGCCTCCAGAAACACACGAGTGGGGAGACTTGGGCTGCACACCATTCTGAGAAACTCGACGAGCTCTCAGGTCACCTGGCAGCGTCCGGCCTGTTCCCTGTCCACCGGCCTGTGCCAGGCCCACTGTCACATAGCCGCATCAGGTGAGGGACTGAAGTGAATGTTCCTGAGGCCGCGGGTGGAGATAGCGTGGTTTGGAAGTGACCGGTCCCCTGATGCTCTCTGGTCGCCACAGCCTTGACTTCTCCTCCCTTCACCTTGCAGGTGGGCACCGAGTCACCACACAGCTTCGAGAGACGGTGGTCACACGCAGGGAACATGCCCACGTCCTTTTAGCTGAGTCCTGTGTCTGTTGCTGACCTCCTATGGTCTTGGTGGTGCCTGAGATCTATCATGGTGCCCGTGCATGAAAACAGTTTTTGGGTTGGGCGCCTGCCGAGGGCTTAAGACTCGTAGGTCCAGGCGAGGTGCCGCACCAGGCCACGTGTCAGTTTAAGAAGCCTGGAGCTGAGCATGGTGGTGCACAGGTGGTGGTGCAATCCCAGCTCTCTGGAAGACTGAGGCAGGAGGGCCAAATATTTCTAGCCCAGCTTGGGCAACTTTCTGACTTAGAGAGACCTTGTCTCAAAATTTAAATAATTTTAAAAGCACAGGGGATGTAGCTCAGTGTGAAGGCCCTGGTGCCATTTCCCATAGCACGCTAAATAAATATAAATAAAAAACACACCGAGACTCAGCATGAAGGGACTTCTCTGCAGGGGACCATCTACCCTCAGCTGGATTGTGTGGCCTTGAGAGTGGGGCTCGGAGTGGGGCAGGGGCCAGAGGATGTGGGAATGGTGGCACTGATCAGGGTGGGTCCCCTGGCACTGAAGGGTAGGCCTGGAAAGAGCTGACCATGCCAGGGACCCCATCTCTGTTGGAAGGGCAGCCACGGTGGACTGAGCTTCAAGGAGGCCTCAGAGCTGGGCCCCTCCAGCCCCTTCCCCTCACGTTTTCTTCCTGACCACAGGTAAAAAGGAGCGCTGAAGCGTCATGGGCTAGGTTCACTTCCAGAAAGAGGACTGAGAGCCCCAAGGGTGCCCACAAGGTTTGGGGGACACACAGAGGACCATCTCTGCTGCTCCTCTGCCAGCTGGGACGCAGCTCCAGCCCTATGTGAGTGACCTGGGGCACAGTGGCCGTACCCCTTCCGCAAATAGGCAGGGGAAGGTCTTGGCCATCTGAAAGGGGGATCCTGTTGCCTGGTGGGGTCGCCCAGGGCCACCTGCTGGGGGGAGGTGACCTCCTGGACAGGGAGCCTCCCTGGCTCCAAGACAGCAGGGTTGCTATGTCCAGCCTGACCCCAGGGCAGGCCCTGCCTGCCATCAGGGAGCAGCAGGACAATGGGAGCCGGACAGATGTCCATGCGGCAGCACTGGGCAGCAATGAGAGGGAACCCCGCCCTGCTGCTCTGTGGGCCACCGTCTGAGGCGTTGCGCTGTCACGGAACCCCAAGTGGGGCCTGTGTGGTTGTGTACCGGTGCAGTGCAGTTGATGGTGCACAATGTCCAGCCGGGCGAGAGGTGGGAGGACTATCCCTCAGCAGCAGCCCGGGATGTGCCTGGGCCTGCTCTCCTTCTCCACCCTCCTCCCTGCTGAGGACCCTGGCAGGTGACTCAAGCTCTCCTGGCCCCACCACCTCTGCTCAGGCACCAGTGCAGGGTCAGTGCACCAACTAGGAGGCCCTTCAGGTCCTTCTGCGTCTTCTGGGGCTCAGTCCTGCTCCTGATACCACCTGCAGCCTGTTGGAGGCCATCTATTTTGTCACCACACCTGTGGGTCCTCCTGACCAGCATGGGTTGCCAACAGCGAGTGCCACAGGTCAGATGCTGCGGCTGAGTGAAGGCTGAGCTCTGCCCAGCCCTGCTAGGTTCTTCAGACAGGAGGTGGCATCCAGGGCCCTGAGCCCTGCTGAGTGCCTGGCCCTACCCTGGACCCCAAAGGGCCCCCGGCAAGGAAAAATCTCTGGTCTGAACCCCAGGGTCCATGGCTGGGGTGTGTGCCAGACAGAAGTGGGCTCTGCAGTCAGGCACATGAGAAGTCGCACAGCTGCTCGGTCGCTCCTCCTGGGCCACCTCCCTGCCACCTGCTTGGGTGCCAGTGTTCCTGCAACTGCTGACCAGGGCACTGGAATGGGCTCAGCCACAGCCAGCCCTGGCCCTGTATGGCCCAGACTGGGGTTTGCTTTTTGTTTGTTTGATGAATTCCTCTGATGTTCAAGAAAGAAATTAATTTTACTTGTTCCTCCAAGCGGTCATTAGAAAAGCTTTTAATGAACACAGTAAAAACCAACTAATTATCCCAATGGCATTTTACTCTAAATAAAATTGACAGGAACCATGAATATGATGCATATAATTCTCCTCTGTTTATTAAAACCCATTTATCACATTTTATCCTAGAGGAAACTGATCATATTAGTCTGTGATAATTTAACTAATATTTCCTGGGTGCATCTAATATTTAAGGAGGTTTCCTGTGTCATAGGCACTGTGGCAATGACCTCCCGTCCTGATTCCTCTTCCTGGTAGGGATGGGTGACTCCATCTGTGCCCAGTCCCCAGCCGTCCTCCCTGGTGGGCTTCTGATTGGAGAAACCCCCTTCCCTCCTGCTCCAGTGGAGTTGGTGTGGTCTTGCCTTGGTAGTGGAGATAAGGCCCAAGTACAGGTCTGCCCTTCAGAGTCCAGCATCCCTGTCCATCCCCACCTGACCACATCCGGCCCTGCAGCCACCCAGAGCCTCTCAGAGAGGGGGAAAGTGTTTATTTCCGCTTTAAAGAAAAATAACTCAGAAGTTACGATCTTCAAAATACCAGGTGAAAACTTTCCAGTGCTCGTGTTGCTCTGGGAGCCTTTTATTATTCCAGATCAAGTCCCAGACTCAAGCCGTTTACAACACAAGAGCCCACAAGAAGGGGAGGACGGGGTCTAGGCCAAAGGGACCATGTGCATTATGGAGACAGAGACAAAAACCCACCCTGTCCTCTCAACCTTCTTCAAAGGGACTCAGCGCTTCTCCAGGGTAACTGTGTGCAGCCCTCTGGGGACATCCAGGCCTTGGCTCTTAGCCAACATAGATTCTGGAAGACCCAAGTATAATTGTGGCCCTGCAGGCCGAGGAGGGCCCAGGGCTCAGGCAGCCATGGGCCGAACTCAGGTCCACCTCACAGTGGTCCCGCGGGGCCTGATGTGTCCTGACGTGCCCTGGGTCATCTCCAGGACCAGGATATGTGACTGGTCTGGATGCACTCTGCAGCTGGCCCTGGTCCCCATACCAGGTCCCCGAGCTGAGGGTCTCACCAGGGAGGACAACAGAAGCCATTAGAGCTGTCCACACCCAGGAAGACAGGAAACCTAAAGAAATCCTGTTTCCCCTTGGTGGCAAAAGGCACTGAAAGGTGGGGGAGATCTCCCTACTTCCTCTGGGCCTGTGCAGGCCAGCAGGTCTTGCAGTGTCAGCAGGTGGTCAGGAGCCTGCCCAGGTGGGGGACTCCAGTGGCTGCTGGGGCTGTCTCCCTTGACCAGGTCAGCAGTCTCCAAGTACCTAGTCTGTAGCCATGGTCCAGCAGATGCCTTTCCTCTGCCCTTGTCCGCAGGGCCCACCAGAAGGCTGGCCATGCACCTGCCTGGTGGCTGGGGTGCGGACTTTGTTCTCCAGCCCTGGGCCAGGGCTCAAAGGCAGGCCCTTGATTGCTGCTCCTCCTGATGCTCTGCCGTGGCAACTGAATGGTGTGTAGCAGCTGCTTTTGAAGTAGAGTAGGACATCTGCGTGTCAGAAACCAGGAAATTAAAGTTCTTCACACGTCAGAGGCCTCTGCTCCAGGGTGATTCCCAGGGCCAAGGGTGTGGCAACTGCAGAGCTGGGTGAGACCCCTCCTGCCACCAAGGAGCACAGCCACAGGAGCCCTCAGGGTTTTAGAGCTTGGTGTGTTGGGGACCTGGCCAAGAATCCCAATCTCCCAAACAAGTGTATGGTAGAAGTAAATGAGACAAGTGGTATGATTTTAGGGCTCCAGGAGGATCAAAACCCTCTGCAGAGTCTAAGACTCTAGGAGCTAAAACAAGGAATATCTCTGGGCAGCTTGTATTTATTTAGCTTTCAAACAAGGAAGGGGTTAGAGTGGAAAATGCAGGAAACTGAACAGACCTTGGGAGTGGTTCAAAGACTTCTCCAAGTAACAGATTATGTTTACTTTAGGAGAACTATCTTACATTAATTTAGGAGAAGATTTCCATGTTGCATTTCGCTACAGGGGTGCAATGCCTGCAGCTACAGTCTTTAGTTAGTTAATTGGAGTTGGAGCCAGGTGTCCTCAACTGTGTCTTTATCTTGCCTCTGAGGCGTCTCTGTTTTCAGCTGGCCGTGTCCTAGCCATGCTGCAGCCCTGCACGTGTGTTCAGTTTCCAGCTTCAGTGGCTCCCAACACTGAGCCGTCCATCCAGGGACTGGGCAGCTGGCCACGCTTGGGCTGCCGAGCATGCTTCTCTGCCACATGGTCTTGGGCGGTGCCTGGGCTAGGGGTGGCAGACAGACATGCAGTCTGCATGCTTGGTGGCCCGTAGGAGACCGTGGCTCCCACCTCCAGAGTCTTGCAGCATGGACCCCCATTCTCTCTCATGCTGCTCTCACCTCCTGAACATGTGGCCATGGCCACATGTCACCATGTGACTGCCCTCATGCGCTGGACATCGTCTGAGCCCAGCCACAGTTGTGCTTGGCCATCACATGAGAATGGTATACACAGCAAGACTCTACGCCAGCCTGAGGCCCAGGGAGGACCACACAAGGAAGGCTCCTGTTCTGAGGAAGGGTTTGGAAACCCTCAGTCCTTTGCCTGGTGGTTGCCACGTACTGGGCGCAACAATGACCTTGTCAGTGTCTTTATTTGGAGAGCGAGTGCCACTGACAGTGGTGAGTATGGATCCAAGTTGACCAGGGCTGTCCAGGCCCATGTTGGCCAACGTCCCACATCCACTCGCCGGAGCTCAGGGGTGCCCAGATCCAGCACTGTCTCTGGAGAGACAGGTGTTGGAGTCCCCACCCACCTGACTCTGTAGGGCTTGTGCTACCCAGGCCACACCTGCATTGAGCCTCTCTGCCTGCTCCTGCGGGGGCACCCTCGGGTACCATGGATTGAGTCTCCGGCTTGCAGGTGGCAGATATTGGGCTGTGGCCTCCATAGCCATGTGTGCAGATAGTGGTTCTCTCTCTCCTCTTGGACCTGTTTTCTTGGCCAACCCTGACAGTTCTCTGCCCTCACCCCCACCACAGATCCACAGTCAGGCAGAAGCACCTGCTGTGACACAAAAATAGCCACGGTTTATTTGTGACTCCATGTGCAGTGGGGTCTGGAGGTCGTCACGCCCCCTGCCCTCTGTGCTTTGAGACGTGTTCTGCAGGGGCCACATCTGGTCCTTCCCTCATGGCCACACTCCAGCGCTGCAGGGAAGTAGCCGAGTGGTGCTGTGAGTACCCCAAGTGAAGGCCACATGCTCTGGTCCCAGTGCTGCCAGGACTGTGTTCTTTGAACCTCAGGAAGACCCTGCCATGGCTCCCCCATCCTTCTCCCACCAGCTCCCCAGGGTTCCATCCCACCTGGAAAGCACCCTGGGCCCTGGTGGCCCCAACCCCTCACCAGGAAAGGACCTCACATGAGACCCAGCTGCCTGCCTCTCCATCAATGTCTAGCATCCCTGCATGGCCAGGGAGCCCTGCACAGTGAGGAGGTGGCCTCCCCAACTCCACAGTCCCTGACACGGTGTTGCCATCCCACCATGTGAAGCACGCCTGGCCCTGTCAGCAGGGCAGCTGCTATCATCTGACTTCCCACTTCACGCTCCTCCAGAGCAGTGCCATCATGGACTCTGTCATGGCTTGTATCTACATGTCTCCAGGTCTCATGCAGTCATGCTGCATGAGGGTGTGTAAACGTGGGTTAAGGGTGTGATGCTGGGTGAAGCGTGTGGATAATGGAAGCCTCATTCCGGGCGTGGTATGGAATATAAGCAGACAGAAAGGAGGCTGCCGCCGCCGCTTGCTGCCTTCCGCCTGCCCTGCCATGGACTGTCCCTCCTCTGCCATGCACCCTGCCTTGGAGCAGCCAACCATGCACTGAAACCTCTACAAACGTGAGCCAAAACACACCTTTCCTCCTTTGACTTGTGGCTGTGGGTCCTGTGCTCAGCAATGAGAAACGTAGCTAAGACTGACCTCTAGCCTCCCATTGCCCAGACTGCCAGACTTGGCCTTCTCAGGAATCGCTGACGTCTCTTCCTGCTCTGCCCCACACTCTCCCAGTCCTCCGCTGCCTCTTGGCCTCTGCCTCCAGCCCCCTGGCCAGTGCCTGCATCCCCTCCAAGGGGGCAGCCACCGAGGGACTTCCCTCTCCACTCCTCCCAGGACACCTCGGCCTGCTTCACCATGCGCGCACTCCGAGACCCCAGCCTCACATCCGGCTCCTTCCTCACTACCATCCGTCACACCGCCTCCTGCTCTTCCTCTTGCTCAGCCATGGTTAAATCTCCCTGGGCACGTGCACCCACAGGGCCACTCGCGCCCACGCCCACACGCAGAGGACACTGCGTCCCTCCCAGCGCTGGCCGGCTTTCTCCACAGTGGCCAGCACATGCATGCACAAAGTGAAACACATAGTCTTGTCTGGCAGTGTTGCCTCTGCACAAATGGAGTCATGCATATTTCATGGGTTGTCTGCAACTTGCTTTTTATATTTAACACAGCGCCTCCAGAGCTCTCCGAGTTGGCACATGTGCCCGACCTCTTTTTCTTCTTTCTTTCTGTGCTGGCTGTGGATTCTTTGTCCTGTGACTGGCACTGCTCTGCTGGTGGGGAGTTCAGACTCCTCTGTCCTTCCTTTTCAATTATTCTTCCCCTGTCTCCACACGGCCGCTGCACATGTCCTGCTGCATGGAGGGGACCGTCTCCCGTGGCCGAGCCTCACAGGAGGGCTGAGTATGGTGGCGTGTGACTGTTTGGGATGGGAATTCCCGAACTGGGTCCTGAATACATAATATTCCCCACGACTGTGGCCCGAGCCCCTGCCTCTCCTGTGCCTGCATCAGTCTTTCGTCATTTATTCCCAGTTTTAGGGGTGACAGCCATCGTTCCTTGTTGCTTCCTTCAGGATCTCCCTGACTAACGCTGAAACCAAGCACCATTTCATTTTGGTTTGTCTGTTTTCAGATCACCGTCCTTGCGCTTGGACTGAGAAACAGACTTCCTGTCATCCCAGTGGCAGTGTGTCCGTCTTCCCGTAGCCGAGCTGCACCTGCTGCATCTTGTCAACCGAACGCACTCGGTCTCTGCAAATCCAGTCTCCCTGCTCTCCCTC